CCCTTTGTACGAACAAAAGTAAGAGAAATTTAGGATAAAAATACGAACATGTTCTTGCATGAGGCCCAATGTTCCCACAGTATTTAGGAGTTAAAATGACAGTAAATTATTTGTAAAACATCATGTGGTTTATGAGGGGGTCCCTGGAAATTTGTCACACTTGTAAGGGGTCCCCAGACCCAAAACCTTTTAGAACCCCTGCTCAAGAGACTAAAACTGGGGGGCCACTAGGGTGGCCAGCTTATACTCAAGATGGGCCATGGCCCCCCTGCTGGTGCCCCTGCTGCTCCTCTGGACCCACACACACCTGCTCCAGTTTCTCTGTAACTGAAGTGGACCTGCTGGTTTTCAGGGAGCAGTGTGACGAGCTGCGCAGCATCCAGATCCGCCGCCGCCTGCAGCAGGTGAGTCAGGAGCGTGCCGCTCAGGTGAGGAGCAGGCAGGAGGAGCAGCTGCAGCGGCAGCAGGATGAGCGGCTGTTGGAGGAGCTGCTGGAGGCCGAGCAGCAGGTCCGACACCAGCAGGAGGAGCTGAAGGCCCGGCAGCGCCAGCAGAGGGACTGGCAGCAGCTGCAGGAGCTGAGGCAGCAGCTGGAGGCAGCAGAGACACGCAGGCAGCAGGAGAGGGAGCTGAAGGAGGAGGAGKCCCGGCTCCTGGTCAGAACCTCCTCTCTCTGACCCACACACAGACTCTGCGGACAAACCTGAACCCGGGCTGTGCTGAGGCTCTGTGTGTTGTCCTGCAGCTGCAGCAGAACCAGAACCAGGTCCTGGAGGAGCASAGGAGGCAGCAGCTCAAGCTCCAGGAGCAGCAGAACCGGCGCCGGCAGCTGGACCGAGACCTCCAGCTCAAAGGGAAGCGAGTGGCCCGGGAGCAGCAGGAGGAGCAGCAGGAGGAGAGGAACTTCCTGCAGGAGTGTTTCAAACAGGAAGTGGAGCACAGACAGGAAGCTGCTAACAGGAAGGTAACTCCACCTGGACGAACCTGTTCACCACATGCTCCTGTTCATCCTGATCCCTGTGTATGTCCAGGCACTGCTGTGGGACGAGCAGCACAGGTACACACACCACCTGACACAGGAGGCGCAGAGGAGGAGGAAGGAGGAAGAGGAGACCCAGCAGCTGCTGCAGGAGCAACTCCAGGAGGTCTGGATGCAGCAGGACAGGAGGCAGCTGGACCGGGAGGTCCGGAACCGTCTGATGAAGGAAGTGACGGAGGCTCGACACGTGCAGGTCCAGAACAAAGGTAAGAGACCTCAGCTGGTTCTGATCCGAGTCAGTCCTCATCCTCACTCACATACTGGTCCACAAAGTTCACCTGAAACTTCCTGCAACTCCTGAAACCCTCCGAGTTCAAGTCTGGGACAGTTTGAATCTCATGACAGACGATGGACGGGTCAGGGGTCTCATTTATAAAGGATTACGTGGAAACCATACTAAAAGTGAACGTACGGCCAAAAGGCGGAAATGGCGTAC